AGTTTAACCGATCGCTAGTTTTTTATCCACCATCCATGTGTTCTTGGTATACTCTTGACACAGTTGACCTTGAAAATCCTAGCTGTCTGACGATTTCGGAAATTGGACCGCCCATGCCTAGCGCGATTTGTCCGCGATCGACTCCGTCTAAATCAGGCAGTTTACCCATACTGGCAATTCCAACAACTAATTCAGAGAACAACCACAGTACGCATTATATATGCAGTTACCACAGTGCCCTCGTTTGCGCATAAATGATGCGCAGCGCTACACAATTTGCATAGCCCTTGCTATCCCTAATTAAATGGCCCTTCAGTGTATATAGACTTCAAATCAATTGTGAACACGTTTAAAATATTTTCAATTCATGTTATGTTAGTGTTATGTAATATATAATTATTAATAATATAAATAAAAATATTTACATTGTACTCTTTTTCTGCATATATAAAGTAAATATTTTAAAACACTCTTTCATTCATTGACACGGCATTACTGATATCTTTATTTTAGTAACTCAAACAGTGAGTTATACTATTGTGAACAAACTCCAGTATTCTTCGTTTTCTATATACTTTATATTCTGGGGAAATATCTCATCTATATTTTCATAAAACATGCAAATATTTTTGGAATTTATTAAAGGCAAGAGTGGAGAAAGAGAAATACTTAATTTAAAAAACGAATGAGTTTCCTTAGATTATAAAATATAATTGTACCTTAATAAATTAGCTTCTAATTTATATTGACGGACTCCTTTCAAAGATTAAGATGACATAAAATTGCATGAAAAATTGTAAAGAAGCTGAAACTTGACAGAAAATAAATCTCGATGGAGAAGCTTGAGATCACTATCAAAGTTGCTTGTGAAGGCTGTCAAACCGAGTTAGTCTAATAACAATCCTTTGATAATATTTTAAATACATTTAGTGACATGATAACTGAAAAACTCCTAGAAAAAAGACGTATTAGGTTTCTCAGAAGTAGTAAGATGATTCATTTTACAGCTATCAAGACTGCAAATACCAAGCCCGCTTTCCTTGTGGTTTAATATTCTTCAAAATTGACACATCTCGGAATAAAATAATTATTATAACACAATTCAACAAATTGTCCTTCCGTAAATGTTCACCATACACCATAACTTCCAGAACAGTATATCTATTTCACCAAATTTACTACAATTACTTAAAATAATTAATTTTATTACATTTTCTTTTTTTGCTATATTTATATTACAGAATAATATATTAGATTTAAATTTTGTTAAATGAACTCTAACGCAAGGAATGCTCTGCATTAATTGGTGGTAGTATTAATAAAAAAGTCGAAGATTTATGAAAATTGCAATTAAAATAGTTAATTTTCCGATTAAAACAAATTTACTTACTATTCTTGTAATGTTTCCTTACAATATTTCCTTTTATCCTTATAAGTAATATAAGATTGTATTCTAAAAGTATTGATAAAGTAAGTACATTTATTGTGAAAATTAAATATTCTTCGATTAGTGAAACACACACAATTGTAGACAGAGTTCAGCTCAGCGATACTCAACCTGCGGCCCACAGAGTCTTTTTAAGTGGCCTGGTCATGGCCCATTGCTCTCAAAAACGTACTTACTTAAGAACATTGCATTAAAAATTTGGTTGGAAATGCTTTGTCAAAAATTCAAATATATCAATTTTTCTTTTTTCTGTCGGTGTCGTGCGGGTACGAATTGATATCCTTTTTTCTATTTGGACCGGTTACGGTTAGTAATAACAGACAACAGTGGAATAGCGAAAATTTTATGGACGGAACTTATTTTTAACTATATTTCATATCTTACAAGCGAAAAATATTCGAAGAAAATATGTCGTTTCAAGACGATTGGGAGATTGACTATTTTGTAGTGAAAAACAAACGTGGATCAGGAATTGTTTGATTTGTTACAAAAGTGCTGTATTTAAAAAAATACCAATAAACACAGGAATCATTCAATGACACTTTTCATCAAAGATCTCTTTCAAGAGGTGATAAATAGGCTTTCTTCTATAATTTTAGCAACATCAACAAAGTGTGTTTTGTCAGTGGTAACAAAGACATCCTATAAAGAAAATTTGTTACATTATTAGTAATCATACGAAACTAAAGCAGCGCGCTTATTCGGAGGACAGAACCAGGGATCTTTGGATACGAAACCAAGTAACTTAACCATTATACTAAAATCATTACTTTAGTACAGAGTCTGCTACGGGCTTATATAGATGATACCGCTACAAAACCGTTTACTGATGCAGAAATTGTAAAGAAGCGTTTTTTAAGTGTTTCTAATTTAGTGTTAGTGACAAAAATAAAAATATATAAAAAATAGTAATTAAAAAAGCAATACAGGAGATACAATATTTTGATAAATTTTCCACATTTTAAATTTCAAATGTTATCTTTGTCTTAAAGCATTTCTCCCCTTCCCCATCCTCCATTTATCCTCATGTTGCGGCCCGCGTGAAATAAGTATCATATGTATGCGGCCCGCGTAAAACAGCTGGAATATGTAAGTGACCCAGCAGAAAAAAAGTTTGAGTACCCCTGGTTTAGCTGATAAACTTAGAAACTCTTAGAATTATGTCAATGCAGCATTTGTGTTGGATAATGTTTTTTTTTTCCTAATGGGCTGTGGATTGGTGATTAACCATTGCAGACCTAGTACATTCCCCGGAAGCTGGTATCTCTTTTTTGTGCGGCACCATATAAGGCAGATACCAATCATCGCAGGTAATTTTGACACCCAGTTTCCCAAGAAGCCCCTGAGCTCTGACGATGCGGTCATGTATTAGGATTTTAATTTTGCCGAGAGCCTCCAAGCCAAACAGACACTCTAGGGATCTTTTACTTGCCGCATAATCATACGACATGGCTGCTGTCCAAAGCAAATCGCAAAGTGTTGTATAATGTAATCACAAGGATTTGAATAATTTTTTTTCAGGTAATAATTTCTCTTCTTGTTTTAAAAAAAATCACAAACCATGTTGATGTTTCTTAGTACTTTACGGGAGTCATAAATTAAACATTACTTTAAATTTAGCATCATGTTTACAAAAATATTGTTTCAATAAAACACAGCTAAATTATCCATCGAAATGATATTTTCTTGACATTTTTAAACAGTTATCAGAAATTTATAATCCATATAAAAAAAATGTAAGATGAATTGCTACTGACATACAGCCATGTTCTGAATATTAGGTATGCAATACTCATATCATGTATTATGTATGTATGTATTTATTTATTTAGTATTATGTATGTATTCATATGAGTATTATATGAAGGTTGTGACACTGTAAGAGAGAAGTTATGGCTTGAAAATAACTTTATTTCGGGAATCCTTTTCTTATGAGAAAAAAATTCGACAAAATGAAGAAACATAAAGTAAAAATATTTAATAAAACAGTAATTTATGTAGGTTAAAAGTAATTCGTCAATTCCTTTCGTATTTACATAGGAACTAAAAAGGAAAATCAGTAAAGCAAAAAGGGTATACCTATTGTCTCAAACCGTCAGCAATATTACTTCATTAAAAGCAAATTTTTATTTTATGGGGTTAACAGAACATTTTTATAAGCACTCAAGTATATTTCCAAGTTTAAAAAATGGTAGTTCTTGTAGTTTGCTTTATTATGGAAATAGAAAAACACTATTCAAAAATCATAATTTTTGACATTTCTTTTCTCTTTTAAAGAGGAAATTTGTTCTAATATTTTTATTAAATATGTTTATACACTTCTGACGTTCAAACAGAAACATTATTTAAGAATATTCTTTGCAGTTATTCAATTCCTACTACAAACTCACACTCTGTGTATATTTATTTATTTATCTTGGTGAAATTTTCAATCGTTAATAAAATATATTTTTAAGCGCTCAATTGAGCTGAAATTTAATATACATGATAACTTTGGCTGACTACACAATAATTTAATTATAATTAATAAAAATTAGTTGATTAAAACTAATTATTTAAAGAATTACAAACACAAAAACTTTGGCTACTTGTGTCAAAACTTGAAAAGGTTTTTTTCTCACGTTTTCATTCAGTTGAACTGAAATTTTATATACACGATTGTTTTGGATGACAATACGATACTTTAATGATAATTAATAAAAATTAATTACCACTAAATGTTGTGATTCTGTCCTATGTATAAACATATTTATATTAATTATAACTATTTAATAAAAAGTAGCTAAAATAAAAATTTTCTTTGTTGATCTAAGTAGGAATTGACTTAATTTTTTTTTACATTACTTAATTTTCTTAAAATTACTGCTAACTTCAAAATGTTCAGCATAAGTGAATTTCTTCAATCAAAATTACGGTGTCTAAATTCTCGATGATAATTTTTCTTAGAGATTTATCAAAGTTTCTTAATTAATCAATATATGTATATGTATCTATATTTATTTATCTTTCTATTGTGATCTCGTTTTATTTGTCTTTCTATAAGTTTATCTTTTTCTGTGTTTGTTTCCCTGTCAATCGTATCTATCTGTTCTCTACATACATATACTTGAAATGATTCCATTTTTTTTTTTTTTTTTTATTGTTACTAGGTTGATTACACGTTTAAGTAAAATAAGCAGTACAATTCAGAAACTTATTTATAAAGACATTCTTTTTATAAATATTTATGTCCTATTATATAGAAATGCATCAAATCATAACTTAACAAATAATATTAAAAAAATTTCTAAGTCAATTCCTACTTCGATCAACCCAAAAAAATTATTTTAGTTACTTTTTATTAAATAGTTGCAATTAAAATAAATTGGTATATACATATGACAGAACCGCAATATTAAGTGCCAAATAGAAAACGATTTTTCTTGCAACTTTCCATTTCTATATATTGTATTGGACCATCTTTTTTTTTTGTTACTATTTATTCATTAATTTAATTCAATTATTCTAATAAAATAAGATAGTAAAAAAGAAGACACATTCTCAGAAATTAGGACATCCCAGGTGGGTTTCGAACCCACAACCTTTAAATTGGAAATCCAACGCACTATCCATTGCGCTACAGGGACACAACGAACAGCTTTCTTTTCTATATATGCTGTTGGACTATTATTTTTGTTTGTTACTACTTATTAATTTTTTAATGTAATTAATAAATTAATATTTGAAAAAACCGTATTAACATCCACAACAAACTTAAAAATTGTATTTGAACTTAAATGGATGAACATAATGTATTTTATTAACGATTGAAAATTTGAACAAGATATATGTATAAGGAGAGAATGAACTAATTGTAGGAATTGAAAAATATCAGACAAATATAATTTTGCATTAAGATTTAATTAAATTTTGAATTAATACTAAAATTAGGGGAAATGTCCAAAGCATTGCATATTATATTATTCAGTTGAATGAGTTAAATTCCCCCACTTAATTTTATACAAGAAATCTTTTCACTGTGTTTTTTTTTTAAAAAACAGTATATGACTAAACAGTATATGACTCAGTACAAAATACTCATTTTCGCCTTCTCATTACATCAAAAAAAAAAAACTCTCATTAAATCTAAAGATTTACATAAAAAGTCATTCTTAAAACCTAAGTCAATTTGCCTGTAATAGTTACTTATTTAAAAATTAACTATATATTCGAAATAACTTCGAATAATCCGAGAGAAAAAGAAATTAATTCATGTTACTTATATTCAGAAACTTCTCTTTATTTTCTTCCATCAATTAAGAGAATTCCATCTAAAATCCCCAGTTCTTACCCAGTCATTCCAATTAAAATGAGTCTTTCAAAGTACACCTTTTGGATAATTACTTAATTCACAAAGAGACGGGAATATTAAGTTGTCTTGAGTATTAACTGAAAAGAGAGGCTTTTATGTTACGGATATGGAAAAAGAAGACTTGTGACTGAGTATTAAGAACGAATGAAAAGACTATCGCTGTCAAATGGAATAAGTGTAATTTAGTTTTCGAAGCGGAATTGGGTAGTTACATTTCCTTTTTGTATTGTTTACAATGTAAAGCAGGATATCAAAGTTTCAATCATTATACTGAATATATGTACAATAAATTACGGACCTGATTTCTGGCATTTTGATATTCAATTCAGTTGGGGAAAAGATGAGAGGTTTTTGGTATTTTATTTTATACACAACGAACAACAATTAAACACGCGGACAACCTCATACTACATTTAGCACATTCTCAAAAACATTCCTTGTTCACTCTCGAGCTCTCGTCTTTTAAGGTATCCGACTACGTTCGGAACCATAATTTTAAAAAAGCGCATAAATGTATAATTTTCACGATATTTAGTGTCACTTAGATTAGAATACATGTATAAAATTGTTTTAAGGACATTATGATAAAAAAAATTATTTAAATAGAATATTTTGGCAAAGATTTAACTTAGAACAATCTTTTTTTCTAAATTTTCTCCTTTTATAAAATATGCTTCTAAAATAATATTTTGTTTATATAAAGTAAAGACAACTCCAGAGAGTCCTTTTTTCCAAATGATCTCCTTTTGTAAAAAATGCTTCTATTGTATTAATATTTTTCCTGTATATAGCTCAGACCTCTGTACAGAGGCTCAACTATGATTTTTGAAAAATTCACATTATTTTCAGAGTTACAACCATGTGAAATAATTATTGGAGTATTTTCTTAAAATTTCTCTTTAAATATGGATCTCTCTTTTTTTTCTCTTTTTTTCTTTTATATGGATTTCTCTTTAAATATGGATAAACCGACTTCCAAGTTATGCATTTCAAAAATTCTAGTTGAGCCTTTGTACAGAGGTCTGAGCTGAATACAGGCAAAATATTAATACAATAGAAGCATTTTTTACAAAAGGAGAACATTTGGAAAAAAAGGTATTCTAAGTTAATTTTTTGCCAAAATATTGTATTTAAATAAAAAAATTTTGTCATAATGTTCTTAAAACAATTTTATAAATGTATTCTAATCTAAGTGACACTAAATATCATAAATATTATCCACTTACAAGCTTTTGCAAAATTACGGTTCCGAACGTAGTTGGATACCTTAAACACGTTATTATAAGCTTCACTTGTATGTAACGGATGAACTCAAATTTTACCCATTTTAAAAGGTCAGATTATTTCGAAGTTTTGCACAAATATCAAGGACCCATGACAATACAATAATTTGATAATCTTCTTCCATTCTCCTGATCAGGATCATCAGGATTAACAATTTTCCATTTCTATATTTGGCGACTATTTCAAGATCATATTTACAGATTTGACGACTAAAAGTTTGTTGCAACCCTAAAGTGAAAACGGCAATGGACATTCTAGATTTTAACAAAATGACGCATTTAAGATTAATTCATCAATGAATAAATGATAGTTTAAAAAACTAAAAAAACACGCTTTTATTGTTTCTAACTACAAAATGAAAAATAAATGATAGTTTCAAAAACTAAAAAGCACGCTTTTATAGTTAATCGAACTAAAAAGTAAAAAAATAATTTGTTATATAAGCATTATGCCATTGTGTGAAAAGCGTGGGGTGCTCGATATCTATTGCTATAATGTCTAATTAGTTCTATTCCGAAAAGCAGAGTTAGTATATAAATGTAGTACAAAGCACATTCCACACTTTTACCACAATGACATTAATTTTCTCTTTAATCATTTTTTTTTATATATTAAGAATTATTTTTTTACTTTTCAGTTCGATTAACTATAAAAGCGTGCTTTTTAGTTTTTTTTTAAAACTATAATTGTTTTTGTCATGGTCAACTGGAAGCTAATAAAATCCTGTGATTTCCGTTAAAAGCTTTTCTAATTGGCCCGAATACGCAGGTGAGGCAAAATTGCATCAACCTGTGTGAGGGATTGTTAACGCCACCTTTACCATTTGTAATTTATTGTCAATTTGGTGAGCGCCAAGGCGCCCGTCCTTTGGGTTATAAAAAATGTTTTGGAGTGAAACTCCAGTTGTAGTTCATACTGCGAGCCGAGCAGACGTTAAGTCTCAATTTCAGTAAGGTTTTTAAATTCATTTAAGTTTTTAAAGGAATACAGTCCATTGTTTTTATTGAGTTAAATTTATTCGTGCCCCTCCAAGGGATTACCCTCTCTCTTTTGCCCACCTAGATGTGTGGGAGGAAGGGAAAGAAACCAGACATATTCAAAATTAACTTATTTATTGATCAACCAAATTATCAATACTGATTCACTAAAATTCAAGAAGAGAATTAATATGAACAATACAAGTGGAACAATAACGAGATGCACGAATTATACGAAAACTATGAACATCGACCACTTTAATTTAGGATCAATTCAATTATCCTTATTAGCCTAACGTTATTTTAAGTTTAGTGACCACAATCCTCACTTTAAATCTTCATCTATTTAATATTAAAAATAGTAGTGATACCTGATCTGTAGAAATCTCACCCGACTCCTTGTTTTTTTTTATCTCCTTCTCCTCAAGCTAGCTAGAAAACCCTTACTATATATAGTAGATTTAATTTGAATGTCACGGTTTCTTCTTCAGAAGGGTTGGTTGTGAATAAACGTGAATGATAGCCCAAATATTTCCCAAGAGGATTAGTGGTAGGAATGCGAATAGATCCGTCACACCTATTTTAAAAACCCTGAAGTTTTAGTTTGGGGGAGATAAGGTTATGGCTATTTCCCATTTGGTGCGTAAACTAGAAATTAATTGTGTCGTGAAGTCTTGGAGGGCTTAAGACCATCATGAATTAAAATCCCTTACGAGAAAATTTACGAGAATTATTGCACATATATATGTGTGTGTGTAATAATTCTCGTAAATTTATATATAGAGAGAGAGAGAGACCAACGCTTGATTTCTTAGCATCGTTAATGGATGAATTAAGTTGTTTCAGAAATTATCACGTGATATGCCTCGGAATTGTTGGCAACTGATGTAAATTTCTGTTGCAGAAATTCTGTAAATATTCAGAAGATCGACAATTTTGAAGTGTTTGAATGAATCATGCTTATAGTTTCTTTTCTTCGTAAACTTCAATTGTAAACACTTTACAGCAATGTTTCTCAAACTGTGAGGGTCGCCCTGTAGGGGAGGGCGTGATAACTCTATGAGGGGGGACGCGAGTTTATGAAAAGTCGAAAACAAAACATTATTTAAAAAAATTATTAATTTACCGAAAGTAAACAAAATACATTCTGACAAAATAAAATTAACATTTGCACTGATTTGATTAATGTATCATTACAGCTCAATGTATTTTAGAATTAATTTAACAAAATACTAAATTAAGAACAAATTTTATAATTACCAGTGACTCCATTAGCTTGTCACATACAAAATTATATACAAGTATTAACACTTATTTCGATAATTTGTACGGTTTATAGATAATAACTTCACTGCCAATTAAATACTATGCAATTCGCTCTAATGCTTCTGTTTCCCATGTAGGGGAATTCCACGTATTAAGGGGGGGGAGAAAAGGAATAAATAAGGAAATCCTCTGATATAAGTAAATCATTCGCAAACGCTGTCAAGATCCTTTTATTACATTTCAAAGCCTTTGGAACGATTTTATGGATAGCAGTGCACAGAAAATATCGTACTTCGGAAAGACGTATATACACGACCGAAGCAGTTAACGCATGAGTTGAGCGAGACGTATATATATTCACCGGGGGCACTTAAGAGGTTTATCTCGTATTGTAGCTATAGCGTCAAAGAATAATTGTATTGAATTGAATGCACTGTTATTTGTATGGGAAGGGGCCGCATTGAAAATTATGAATGAATATTGAAACTTTGAGAATCACTGCTTTATAGGAAATTTGAGTTATTTAAATGGATCATGAGCCTGAGAAAATTAGCTTTTTGAATTATACGACACATGCCTTTTAAGGAAAACTTTTGATTTACCTTCAAGTTTGTTTTCAAAAGACTTTTTTGAAAAAAAATGCATGCTGAATTTTAATTTAGGAATTGTACATTAGGAGGGATCAAATCCTTTTTTCAGAATTTCAAAACCTACTTACGGGGAAAAGATGTTATCTGGCATATAGATA